AAAAAAAAAAAAAAAAAAAAAAAAAAAAAAAAACAAGGGAGCTGAAATTTGAGCTGGAAAAAAGAGCTGAACTCGAAGTTTAACAGCAAGGGAAAAAAGTAAAAAAGAAGAATCATAGGATGAACTATGTCATAGGGGAAAAAAAGCACTATGGAGTACTACATCGTGTCTCCACCAAACATGTTTGACACAAAATGCTCTTAGCGCCATCCATTGTGGCGGGTTTGAAATCCAATAAATTAAAAAATTAAATAGATTAAATAGACCAATACGATTATTCACTAGCCCTTGGGAGCTGAGCCACATCAGATCACCCTCCCCGTGATTCCCCATTCCCTTGCGTAAGATATAGTTTGGAAATGGGTTCATACAGCCCTGGAGGATCGACCGGATCGCGAGATATGCTCCAAACTCTAATCCGATGGACTCACATTCCCTCTTTAGGTAAATCCTAAAGGGAAAAACGTCATTTTCTTCACGGTCTCCCACGAGCTCAGACAGGGATGCTACGTCCAATATTCCAGGGATTGGCCTAGAATATCCTTCCACACGGGCTAATTTTCACCTGCCATATCAAAGGCGTGGACAGACCTCTCCCCGCTCCTGTCATCTATCTCTGACGTCCCTATCATGAAGGGATGCACTCTTCTTCCCCTTCTACTGGTTGTTATGGGCCCAATATTCCAATGGACGCCCAAACCTGCAGCTGATATTCAGTGGAGACCATCTGCTCTTTGTCTCCTTCCCTGTGGAGTCATGGAGTCTGAATCAGAGGGCGGCTTCCGCTCCCGGATCCCGATCGAGATCGACTAACGAAACCGTGCTCCACTCCCATCCGAGTTATGTACTGCGCCCGTGCATTGTTGCCAGTACCTCGGCGTTGGGTTGGGATCACCATAGGACTTCGCCTTGCGAGCGGGATAAGAGTGGGGCGGAATTGGACATAGCGCGAACATCCTCAGCTGCATGTTAATGATCGACCGCGCGTTGAAGACAAAAGTCAGAAAAAAAGCAAAAATAATCCCAACAAACATGAACTGCTCTGTCATCCGGCGGGTTACTGCATTAACTCATGGCGATTCAGCCACACCTCCATATATCCACATTGGCATTATTGATGGCGTCTCGAGTGCGCATTCCGGTCGAAGGGATCTGTGGCTAGCCAAAGCGAAGCCATCCCTAGGCTGCAGATCGTCTGTTTTATTGAAGGCTTTCTTGACCGTATGATCGGGTGCACTGGCCCATCATATCCGGCGCTTGCATCCCATCTGGGCTAGTCAAAGTAGACCCTGGTCAGGTCGCACTTGGCCCGTGATAGTGTTTCCGCGCAACTCGCCTTGACTGGCCCTTGGGTTAGTTATTGTGGAGATATCGATGTTAATTGGGTTGCATCAGACGTCAATGAGCTCATTCTTTGTTCTCCCTTTCCGGTTCATCCCCGGAAGGAGGTTCCACTCCCTCTTTGATAGACCATCAGACAAAGTTTGACAGGCTACAGCGTGGGTCTTTCGGGAATTGCGTCAGACACTCCCCGAGGTGTGAAGGACCGAAAGCAGCTGAAAGCAAGGGAGTAGAACGGTTCTATGACTGCTGATTGGCAAGAAAGGCTTGCAATAGTGTTAATTCTGGACCCCGAGGTGATAGTGTCATACACCGAGAGGGGAACGGCAAATGAATGGGGAAAGATAATGGCAAAATAATTGGATCATATGCAATGCATACCTGATTTTCAGAGCCAAACTCAAAAGAGAAAGGGAAAAAAAGAATTGGATGGGCGAATAGAACAAGATGGGAAAAAGGGCATCGTTTGCGGTGATGCCCGGTGACGCCCAAAAGGGAAAGACGAAACTCGATTGGGAAAGAAGGATGCGAAGGCAGGAGCCATACAGAAGGGATGTGAGGCTGATCTGGGTGGGTTCTGGGGAGGGGAGAAAAGAAAAACAAAGTCTTGGTTAACACGATCACTTCAAAAATGGAAGACTCGCCCTGGTTGGATTGTCAACTATCCCTCTCAGTCTTTCATTTCAAGGGAATCCTGGCTTGATTAGTTCATACACACCCTCCGGTCATCTTTTGAACTTTTTATATGAGCCAGCGGGAGAACCCATCATAGTTATGTCAGAGAAAACCCCCATCACTATGCCTCCAAAGGTGGTCGTTGCGCGGCACTCACCCACTGTGAGCGAGTCCACTCTTACCAATGGAGACGAAATCGATGAGAAGTGCTACTCCAAGAAAACCGAATCCTTACATCTTGACCTCGAGAAGGAGATTGATGTGGAGGCACAGACCCAGACCAGCCAGCGCAAACCCAAGTTGTTTGCATCCACTCGATATGCCATTCTCACACTATACCGACGTCTTTTCACGCTAGTCTTCTGTGCCAACGTGGCAATGTTCGTGTACATCATGAGCACGGAACAGAAACTTCTAGCCCTGGTCAATGCCACGGCTGCCAATTTGCTCGCTTGTGGTCTGGCCCGCCAGCCACTGGTGGTCAATGCTATCTTTGTGGTAGTATGCTCAATGCCGCGCTCAGCCCCGCTTCTGCTCCGTCGGATCGCCGCGAAGGTCTACCACTATGGTGGTGTCCATAGCGGCTGTGGAGTCGCTTCCCTCGTGTGGTACGTGGGATTCGTAGGCGTGTTATCCCACCAATATTGGAAACCATCAGCCGATGGTCCGGATATCGGCGTTTCAGCAGCACCAGTCGCGTTAGCTTATGTCATCTTGGTCCTGTTGTTGGCGATCATCGTGGTGGCCCACCCCGCCTTCCGGATGAAACGGCATGATTATTTCGAACTCACCCACCGTTTTTCAGGATGGCTTGTCGTGGCCTTGTTTGTCGCCTTGTTGCTCGTCTTCTCGCGAGGCGCTAGCCAGGCCATGGGTCAACCACTCGGAACATTCCTCCTCGAACTGCCAGCCTTCTGGTTCTTGATGCTCACTGTGGCAGCCATTATCCAGCCTTGGCTGTTCCTCCGAAAGGTCGCGGTGCGGGCCGAGCCACTCTCGACCCATGCCACCCGCCTGCACTTCGACCATGCTATTACCACTTTTGGCAAGGGCATCCAACTAGCCAAGCACCCGCTTCGCGACTGGCATGGTTTTGCAACCTTCCCTGACCCTGCTCCCGCAGGCGTCCACGGCAACCCAAGCTTCTCTTCCTTAGTGTCCAAGGCTGGGGACTGGACTGCAGAAACCATCCAGAACCCGCCGACCCATCTCTGGAAGCGTGGTGTTCTGATCTATGGCTTCGCATATGCCATGCGCGTTTTCCGGAGAGTAATAGTCGTCACTACCGGATCGGGCATCGGGCCCTGTCTGTCGTTCCTCGGTGATGATAACCGACCTGCACTGCGTGTACTCTGGCAAACTCGGGCCCCTCGGAAGACCTACGGTGACGGGGTGATGCACCTGGTCCACAAGATGGATGACGCCCCCATCATCCTAGACACCGATAAGTGTGGGCGTATGGACATGGTGCCCATCATCTTGCAGCAGATCAAGGACTTCGACGCTGAAGCGGTGTGCGTGATCAGTAACCCTGTGCTGACGGCGCGTATCGTCTATGAACTTGAATGTCGAGGGACCCCGGCATTTGGCCCCATTTTCGATTCCTGACCCGTAATATTATTTCTGTCTTTGGACCGTACATACCTGTTGTTCGACTCTTGATGTTTCTTCGGCCCCTTTTTTGCTTTTGCTTTTGCTTCTGCTTCTCATTTAGGAGTTTGTATCTTTTGAGCATCTTGCCATATATCCTCTCCGGCTTGCGGCGTTTATTGGCGGTATATTGTTTTATATTTTTTTTTCAATTGATATCTTCGAAAGGATGTTGAGTTGCAAGTCTCCTATTCAGGGGGGCGCCCTGTCTGTGTACATATGTCAGCGCTTCCTAGGGGAATTTGGAATCGCGCGCTATGGCCCTGCTGGTATCCGTTTATAATTTCTCGTTAAGTAACCTATAGAGTGCAAGCAAGACAAATTTCACCCCTATGGAAGACAATATTAATGTGCGTGATAGTCGTACAATTCCAAATACATATAAACCTTCTCCACTCAGGGACTTGGGGGCCAATTATAGTGGCAGTGATAGGGTTATGTTCTGAAGCTTACATCAAGCAGTGTTTTGTTTAAATTTGCATCTGTTCTAGTCTATGTTCGGTGTCTACTTTGATATTTCGTACTCTGATTTAAGTTGGATTTCGTGCATACTATCGCGAATCCCTAACTATATATCGTTGTTATATAGTCCGTTATGGTCGAGGATAAATGTTGGACCGGATATTTCGACCTGCGATCTCGGTGGTACTTACCCGATCTGGTAACTATCTGCGGGGCGCATACCCTACGAATTATAGGTTGTATGGGCGTAAATATATATCTCTCTTCAAACGCAGTCTAAAAATGGATAAAACCAAATACTCGATGTCTAAATCTAAACCCAAATCCCAATTTCAATTCCAGTCATACTAATAACTAAAAAGAAAACCTCCAACGTCACACCAAACCCACCGCAATGTCCGAACCACGAAGGTAAGCACAGCCCAAACCAGCACATACATCGTACCCATGTCGAAATCCCCCAAACTACCCCCACACACACATATTGGTATCCAATGGACGAGACAGATAAGCCCATTATCACATTACCACGTAAATATGAAAATGACTGCCAACACACAAAAGCAAAAGCCCCACTAACAAACCCCGCAACA